AATCATGAACATGGTAGTTCTTCTCTTGAGGCTTCAATTGGCGCGAAGCATAAGTGATCACTCTACCCTCCTGCATCAAGACACACCTAATACCAATGAAAGAAGCATTCAATACATTATATAATAGCCTGGCACAGAAGGCAAAACTAGAATTGGAGAAGTGGTCAAGGCAGTCTTGAGCTTCTGAAAGCTCCCCTCACACTCATCCGACCACCTGAATGGAGCACCCTTCTGGGTCAATTTGATAAAAGTCACTGTAATAGACGAGAAACCATCCATGAAACGATGATAATAACCGGCCAAGCGAAGAAAGCTCTGAATCTCAGTAGTTGAGAACGGTCTGGGCCAACTCTGAAACGCCTCTATCTTCTTTGGATCCACCTTAATCCCTTTACTAGACACCATGTGCCCCAAGAACACCACCGAACTAAGAAAAAACTCACACTTGGAGAACTTGGCATAAAGCTTATCCTCCATCGGCCTTTATAGTACAATCCTCAAATGCTGGGTATGCTCCTCCTGGCTACGTGAGTAAACCAGGATATCATCAATGAATACTATGACAAACGAGTCAAGATATGGCTGAAATACACTGTTCATCAAAAGCATGAATGTTGCTGGGGCATTGGTCAGCCCAAAAGACATCACAAAGAACTTATAGTGACCATAACGGGTCATGAATGCCGTCTTTAGAATATCCGAGTCCTGAATCTTCAACTGGTGATACTTAGACCTCAAATCAATATTAGAGAACACCCTCACTTATTGAAGCTGGTCAAATAGATCATCAATGCACGACAAAGGATACTTGTTCTTGATTGTAACTTTGTTCAATTGCCAATAGTCGATGTACATCCGCATAATACCATCCTTCTTCTTCACAAACAGAACTAGTGCACTCCAAGGCGACACATTAGGCCTAATAAACCCCTTATCAAGAAGTTCCTGAAGCTGCTCTTTCAATTCCTTCAACTCAGCTGGTGCCATATGATAAGGAGGAATAGAAATGGGCTGAGTGCCCGTCACCAAGTCAATCCCAAAGTCAATATCCCTGTCGAGTGGCATGCCCGATAGGTCTGCAGGAAACGTATCCGAAAAGTCTCGCACCACCAGAATAGAATCAATAGTAGGGGTATCAACACCAGCATCCCTCACAATGGCCAAATATGACAGACATCCCTTCTCAACCGTCTGTTGGGCCTTCAAATAAGAAATCACCTTGCTGGAAACATAATCTAGAGAACCTCTCCACTCGATCCTTGGCAACCCCGACATCGCCAACGTCACGGTCTTAACGTGACAATACAGAATAGCATGACATGGAGACAACCAATCCATACCCAAGATCACATCGATATCGACCATACTAAGCAATAAGAGATCAACTCTAATCTCCAATCCCCCAATAGTCACTACACACGACCGATATACATGGTCTACAACAATAGTATCGCTCACCGGCATAGATACATGAACATGTGAAACTAATGACTCACGGGGCATATCTAAATGACGAGTAAAATGGGATTATACCTAGGAGTAAGTAGAACCATGGTCAAATAATGTGGAAGCATCTCTGTGGCACACTGAAACAATACTTGTGATCACTGCATCGGAAGAAACAACATCTGGCCTGGAGGAATAGCATAGAATTAGGACTAACCGCCACTTGATCGGCCTCCCCCTCTAGAGCGACATCTGGCTGCCTGAGCCCCACCTCGAGCTGGCTGGTAACTGGCGCGAATGTCGTAGCCAGAATCCTCTGCTGAATTGGACCTCCGGGGCAACGAGGAAACTGTCTCACATATGCCCAAACTCCCCGCACTCGAAGCAACTCCCTGGTGGTGGTGGTGGGGATTGAATCGGGCCCAGTGTACCAAAGTAACTACTAGAAGGACGTGGCACAGATGAACCCTGAACCGATGGAGCACGGGATGAGCTTTGAGCTAGGAGAGCATTGAGGACTGATTGACTCGGACGAGTACTATATGAACCATGGCTAGTTGATGCGCCACGATGAACTCGACGAGCCATCTGAGCGGGCCTATGAGGAAGACCCCTGTTGTGGTGGAACTGACCCCCAAAGGGAACACCGCTGAAACTACCCAATCCATAAGGCCTCTTGGCCTCCCTCTCCTCACGCTCCTCACTACGAATCAACTCTAGCCGCCGAGTAATATCAACTACCTCATCAAAACTAGCACCTGATACACTCTCCCGAGTCATAACGAAACCCAACTGATAGTGGAGGCCATCAATGAACCTCCTAATCCTCTCCCTCTCAGTAGGAACCAACCAAACTACGTGACGAGCCAACTTTGAAAATCTCATCTCATACTGGGTCACAGACATGCCTTCCTGACGTAGCTACTCGAACTGCCTACGCAGCTCCTCCCTGCGGGTCTGTGGCACAAACTTTTCCAAGAAGAGAACGAAGTACTCATGCCATGAAAGTAGTGCAACACCGACTGTCCTGCTCCTCTCATAGGCCTCCCACCATCTAAAGGCAACCCTTGATAGCTGAGAAGTAGTAAAAGAGACTCCACTAGTCTCCAGAACACTCGGCGTACGAAGAATCCGCTGGCACCTATCCAAGAAGTCCTGAGCATCCTGTGACTCAGCCCCACTGAATGATGGAGGTCTGAGCCTCCCAAATCTCTCTAGGCTCTCCTCCTTATTAGTCATAATGGGACCCACCCGGGCCTGAGCAACTGCAACCGGCTAGGCATGTAGTACCCCCGGCGTTTGAAGTCTCTGCATCACCTGCTCTGGAGTACGGGCGGCGGGAGTCTGAGTACCTCCCCTGGACTGAGAGGTAGCTAGCGCGGTCTGAACAGAAAAAACCGCCTGAGCAAGGCTAGTGCAAACAGTCAATATCTACGCTAGAGCGTCCTGAAGGCCTGGAATCACATTGGGCACAGCTGATACCTGAGCTGGCTCCAGTGGCTTAACCTCATCTGGAACTTGCTCCTGAGCTTGAGCAACTGGTGGATCTGCAGGTGTTGCTCTGGCTATTGTATGAGCTGCACCTCGGCCCCTACCGCGGCTCCGGCCTCTTGTGGCCCTAGCTGGTGGTACTGGTGGCTTATCCTCAAAATTTACACTAGTCATACTCAACAAAATTAAGGGGCAATCTCTATAATGTAAATGAGGAGACATAGAAAAGCAGCAATTTACTGCCACCGAATATCATCAAGCTGAATTCTTTTTAGGTAGAAAAGACTGTCTAAAGAAGGCAGTTTTCACACTATTAAATGCCAAATACAATGAAAAAATGGCCGCTTACATGCTTTACTGTCTAGTCCTGTCGTTAACTGGATTTTGAGTAGCATGGAAGTGTATATATATTTTTTTTTATATTACACAAATTTTCCAAAAATGTTGTCTATTGGATTTTTTCTCAAAACATACTAAGTACTTCACTATTTTTGGAAGATTCGACTCGTATCCCACGATATTTTTGAATATCATATTTTTTTGTATGTTACGGATTCTCCAAAAATGTTATCTATCTGATTCTTCAAAAATACATTATTTTTGGAAGATCCGACTCGCATCCCATGATGTTTTAGAAGAATTCGAGCAACCTAATTTTTTTTTTTATAATTATAATCACCAAGCATCTTGTATGTGAGATTCTAATGCCCATTGAAGAGGAAGCGAAAAATGTTCTCTATCATCACTTCAATTATTCATAGTGCTTGAATTCGAAATTTTTAATTAAGTTAAAAAGATCTCATTTATCCCACCACACTTTTGGTGGTGAAGGAGAGTTTGTATAATCCTGTGTGTTCCTCGAGGAATTGCATTTCTTAATTCCTTTTAATTATTTTCCGTTTTTTTTAAACATTTTGATGTAATTCGAGAAAACTAAAATATTATTAACGCGAGAAGCAAAGATAGACAACATGCAATCCTCTGAAAATTGAACCAACAACAACATTATCTCAAGGGAATCCCGCATGGGGTCTGAAGAGGGTAATGTGTACGCAGACCTTACCCGATCCTCGGCGGCACAATAAGATCCTCTTAAAATTGAACCAGCACTTAAAAATATGTCAGGCACCCAAAATAATATTGTCTTTAAAACAAATTACACTTCTATATTTCTTCCTTTTTTTGGGATTTGTATTATTTTAGGCATCGAAGGTGCAGAGATGTGGGTGTTTAAAGTACTTAATTAAAGTTCAAGTAGTGTTTGGAGTTTGGACTAATTAGATCATGATTTCACTTGGAGATGAGTTGAAATTTTGTGAATGAACATCAATAAAAGTTTCTCATTTCAAAGCTAAAATCAAATAATGAACAAAATAGTACAACAAACATTGATTTATACACACTATTTCTAGTAAAAAAAAGACCGATGCATTAAACTTTCTTTACGCGTGGGGTCCGCATAATAATACATTTGCTTTGAAGTGTTGTGCTACGTTCGAGTATTAACTTCAGACTGAGCAAAAGGACATTTTTTGGTCACTCGCCGATTTAACCTTTCACTGTCATAGATGACTTTGCTACACTTTCTTAGCTGGTTTATACCCAACTTTTCTTGGTTCCCCACTAAAAGAGAATCCTAGATAAGAAGAAAAAAACAGTAGACAAAAAGGTAAATAAAACTAGAATTTTATTGTCAAAAAGAAGCTTTCCGTAGGATCAGCCATCATCCAACTGTCTCCTATAAAAGCTACAAATATTCACTCTCCGGTCCAAAATAAGTGATTTTTTGGATGTTTTCACACAAATTAAGAAATCCACCTTTTAGCATTAATTAACAATGGAATTGACCATATTAACCTTTACTATCTCACATAAACACTCCTAACACATATTCCAACACCATTTACTTCAAGGACAATGTAGGAAAAAAAATAATTAATTCATTCTTGAAATCTGAAAAAATCACTTATTTTGGACCACAAGAAAAAGGCCAAAGAATCACTTATTTTTGACCGGAGAGAGCAAAATCCAATTTCATACAGTACTATATTATTAAGCTCGCTACTTGTAATGTAGACTGTAGTCCATCTTATTTAACTCCAAGTCACTCTTTTCCCTGTTATTCTTTAAAGGTCTTTGAAGTTCAAGAAAAAATGGCTAAGGTATTTGGGATTTTTGCATGCTTAGTGATTGTGGCTTTAGATGCTGTAGCTGGACTTCTTGGAATTAAGGCCGAAGGAGCTCAAAACCAGGTATATCTCATCCAATGCCAATTTCATTATTGTACCAAAAATTAAATTGCAACAACCACAACATGCACAGTGTCGTAATTTTACCAGTCAAGTCTGACAAAAAGACCGTTTTCGATAGACCCTCGAACATAATCATAGTAATTTACTAAAAATTGCAACAAAAAAAAAGGGGGCTTCCTTCAAATCCTCCAAGAAATTTTTTCTATTCTGATGCCATTTAATTTTTTCTATTCGATTTAAATTATATACACTGATAGTGTAACAACTAGTTTAATATGTCTTTGTAAGTTATCCTTTATATCAGGTTCATAATTACTAATGTTTGTCGCACACAAATTTACTTAAGCTTACGGTAAGTAGGTTTTACACCGTCTAATGCATAGAACTTAAATTTTTTTTTCCTTTTTTTGTGGTTTGGAAGGAGAAACACCTGAAGCTATGGTTGTTCGAGTGTAAAGAGCCAAGCCATGATGCATTTATACTAGGTTTAGCTGCAGCAGGTCTATTAGGAGCAGCTCATATTCTTGCCAATCTCGTCGGAGGGTGCAGCCTCTACTGTACAAGTGATGAGATTCAGAAAGCTCCCCCAAGCAGACAATTATCACTCGCTTGTCTTCTTTTCACTTGGTATGTGATAAATTATACTCCATTCGTCTAAAAAAAAATGATACTATTTTCTTATTAGTTCATTTCAGAAAGATTGACACATTTCAATAGTTCCTTAATATAAAGCAATTAAAGTTACACAAATGTTATGACAGATTTAAGACCACAAGTTTCATAAATTTTACAACCACACAAATAATATAACTTATTTAAGACCACATATCTCAAGTCGTCCCTTGTTTATTGAAGGAGGGGATTGGGGCATTTTTATTAACGACTTATTATTATAAATCTAGTAGGAGTACTAATTAGGTTTGTGAGTTTTTTAAATCTTAGATGCCTCTTCTAGTGAGTTCAATATTTTGTTATTGGGCTATCTATTAACAGTTTTATTAGATGATAATTATTACTCCAACTTGTTTGGCTAAACTTCCAAATTTTGTTTATTTTATAAAATACTTTTTGTCAAAAATGTTTTCCCCAAAAAGTATTGTTGGAGAATAGTATGTGTTCAATTAATCAACTTAGAAAGCACTTTTGCTAGATGATTATTAGGACTCTTATTATGTGATAATAACTCTTGTAGATGATAATATTCGTATCTTTGGTAGATCATAGTTTCTTTTTACCAAAATAATTAATCTAATAGGTGATGTATTTATTTCAGGAGAGGAGCCAATATACAAGTTACGGATTCGATCGAATTCAGTAACTTTGGTTTAAATCCTCTTTGTCTTTAGAAAAACAATTGAATGTGTAAAATCATACTTACGGATTCTACCTATCATGTATTCTGCTCATCATATATAACAACATAATACTGGCTCTATGAATCACTGAGCTATTCACAAAATATTCACACTATCAAAATAGAAGCAAAATTAAAGTGAAAGACAGATATCTGATTCATCTTTTGTATAATCTATCTGGTGGATTCAGAACAAATTATATCGGGTTACGGTCACCACCATAAAGTAAACTTCATCGAGGTTTCTTCGAGCCCCACACCATTTTTGGAATGGGGTAAAGAGAATTGCTCCAATCAAGTAGTTTGTCCGTGATTTGAGGCGACAATTGTTGGTGTGACCGGCGAAAAAAAAAGCAAAAAAGAGAACAATTTGCCCATTTCATGCATTTACAATATGAGATTATTATACAATTTAGAAAGTTAAATAATAATCTATCACAAATTTTACTATATATATCTTGATTCTTCCAGAATTTTCAAGGAGACAAAAGAAAAGATCTCTAAAATATTTACTATGAATCTTTAAAATTCATTGAAGAACAAATTAATTACTTTGAATGGTTTGAATCTTATCTTGAATATCACTAATTAGATTTTTCTTTTTTCTAAGTTGGTTAACGTTCAAAAGTTTAGAAAACTTCCACCGGAGAGGAAGTGATCACCTCCGAACTTCCTTCGACAAAAGGAATTTCAACAAATTATAGAAATACTTTAGTAGTAGCTAATCCTTTCAAATTAAAAATCGAAAATGAAGCTATTACAGGCAAGGACATTAAAAATATTTTTGAACAAAATAATTATACAAACAAATATTAACAATCTCTTAGTGAATATTTTGATTACAAAACCACCTTCAGCATCTACTAGTTCTAAGCCAGCAGAAACCTCCACTTCTTCAATCCCCTTATTTAAACCTTATGAGATCCCTAGAACTTTCTCTACAGAACTTCGGGTTCACCAAGCTAAAGACTCTCCTCAGCTTTCTGATCTTCAACGTAGGATCCTAAAAATTGAGAAAACTCTGATAGCTCAGGATGCCCCAACTAACGATTATACTATACTGGTTCTCCGAGAAGTAGATACTGCCAAGAAACCAATTCACTGTTAGAGCAATTTCATGACAATCCTCCCCTAGAAGTTTTTTCGGTTATAACAGGATCTTTCAACTGGCGTCAACCTCAAAGACTCTATTATTTTAGAGCTACTCATCCCAATGTAGCCTTAGATGAAAGACCGAACATTATGCAAAACAATTATAATGCCAATAAGATCTATGAGTGGAACATAGATGGTTGTTCCAAATACAACATTCTAGCCAAATTACAGCAGATGACTGTGGTAGCCACTGCATATCAGACTTCTCATAACTGTTCTGACCAGCTTACTACCCATGTCTTAGTAGCAGGTTTTACAGGTTAACTTAAAGGATGGTGGGATACTCATCTTAGCAAGAAAGATAAGAACCAAATTCTCTTAAGTGTCCGAGTTGATTCAACGGGAGAACCAACCCTTAAAGATGGCAACCAACACCTTAATTTATACTATTATCAAAACACTCATAGGTAATGCAGATATCTTTAGGGAAAGATCTTCTAAGATACTTAACAACCTTAAGTGTAAAGCCATTTCTGATTTCAGATGATATAAAGATTCCTTTCTTACCCGAATCTATGAAAAACCATATAGAAACCTCCAATATTGGAAAGAAAATTTCTTAGATGGCCTACCTAAGTCTCTTAGAGATTTAGTTAAAGAGGAACTCGAAAATCAGTATACTGGTGATATTATTCCTTACGAACAAATCACATATGGACAACTTACCAGTCTCATTCAATATTTTGCTCTCAAAATCTGACGACATGATAACATATTGAGACAATTAGCTAAAGATAGAATGCAGACTCGTCGAGATCTAGGTAGTTTTTCTGAACAATTTGTCTTACCTCCTTGTAGTAAAAAGCCTCATAAGAGACGGCCACCTAAAGATAAGAAGATTACACAATATAGATCTTCTGCACCCAAGTTTAGGAAGACCAAACCTTTTCCCTCTAAATCAAAAACCTTTCCTAGTAAACCTAAAACATCAACTTTCCAAACTCCCAATTCTGGAAAATGTTTCAAGTGCAACAAACCTAGGCATATCGCCATGTACTGCAAGTTGTCTAATAAGGTTAGAAATCTTGATTTAGATGAGTCCTTTCTTAACCAAATCGAACAAATTTTATTAGAAGATAGTGACACTTCTGGTGTTGCTAATGATGAACTCAAACAACAATTTAACCAACTCGAGGATGATGATACAAAATCATCTTTATCTCAATCTAGTGAAGAGGACAAAAATAGCCAACCTAATATTAATGTTCTCTCAAAAGAACATGATACAATAAGCAATCTTCAAGACTCTGAACAAAAGAAGCATTATTCGAGAAATTCAAACGAACTATAGATAAACCTTCTACATCTTTCTCTAGTGTCTTTTCCAATCATCCTCAAGTTGCGAATACCTATAATATTACTGATATTCTCAGTAGATTCCCTTCCCAAAAACCTAAGGTAGTAATTATCCAAGATCTCCAAATTGAGATAGCATTCCTTATTAAGAAATTCGAGAAATTAAGGCTAGACAAGAACTGGACTATCTTGGTCTCCAACAACTCTTTATTAAATCTGAAGAGCCCAAACTAATTGAAACTAAACCAGTTGACCAAGAAGCTTTTATCAACCATCTCTCCAGAATTTCCATACGGTAATGACATATGAGAGTCATCCTAATTGCCAATAAATCCTTTACCTTAGATATTGCCTTATTTGATACAGGTACAGATCTCAACTACATACAATAAGGACTCATTCCAACCAAATTCTTTAAAAACACCAAGGAAGGCCTTAGAGCTGCCCCCAACGGAAAATTGGAAATTAGCTTCAAGCTCTCCAATGTTGAAGTTAGAACCTCTTTAGAAAATTCACCTTTGTCAGCCTCAAGTTCCTTTCGATTAGTAAAAGACGTTACTAATCTAATTATATTAGGAACTTCCTTCATCGAGGAGCCCATACCTTTGATGGTAACAAAATAAGAAATTCTAATTGAACGTATAGGAAGTAGAACCTTTCTTCCTTTTGATAGACCTCCGACTACAAAGTTCTTGTCTACTATAAAAAGTAAGGAAGCACATATCAACTTTCTCAAAAAAGAAGTAGCGTTCCAAAGGTTATAACAGCAACTTCGAGAATCTTCTCTCCAATACAAGATAAAAACTTTAGAAATCAAAATCCAGGAAGAACTTTGTGTTGATTTACCTTCAGCCTTCTAGAATCGCAATAAACAAATTATTAGGCTTCCTTACAAACCTGACTTTGATGAAAAAACCATTACCGCAAAAGCTTGTCCTATCCAGATGAATCATGAGCTAACCATTCATTATCAAAAAGAAATCAGTGATCTTCTTCATAAACGCATCATCTCTCCAAGCAAATCCCCTTGGAGTTGTGCTGCCTTTTACGTCAATAAAAACTCTGACATTGAACGAGGTGTCTCTCGATTAATCATCAATCACGCTCTCCGTTCTAGTTTATGTGAACCTATTTCCTTTTTGGTCCGTTCTAAAAAGAATGACCCCTTTCTAAATTTGGGAACAATTTAGCTTTAACTTCCAATTCTACCCTTAATAAGAAGCTTTTATAACCACACAAATATTCTGGACCCTTTTTTGACTTGTTTAAGACCACAAGTTCAAAAAGTCTTCATTTTTTCTTAAACTCCGTGCCCAGTCAAAGAAGTTCACATAAATTGGGACGGAATGAGTATAAATCTTTGAACAAAGCACTCCGCTGGATTAGGTATCCTATTCCGCTAGAGCAGGTGTTTGAGGATCAACATAATCCGGTTTAGTAAATCAGCTTGAAGTGAATCCTTTTTGTTCAGAATAGGATACCTAATCTAGCGGAGTGCTTTGTTCAAAGGTTTATAATTGATGACTAATCAAGAGATACCCGTTCAATCTTAGAGTTGTTATTAAATGTTAAAGGTTGTACAACTCCAAGAGGATTTGCTTGGAGAGATGATGTGTTTATCAACAAGATCATTGATTTCTTTTTGACAATGAATAGTTAGCTCGTGATTCATCTAGATAGGACGAGCTTTTGCAGGGATGGTTTTTTCATCAAATCAGGTTCGTAAGGAAACCTAACAATGTGTTTCTTGCGATTCCAGAAGGCCGTAGGTAAATCAGCACAAAGTTCTTCCTGGATTTTAGTTTCTAAAGTTTTTATCTTGGATTGGAGAGAAGATTCTCGAAGTTGCTGTTGTAACCTTTGAAATGCTACTTATTCTCTGAGAAAGTTGATCTGTGCTTCCATACTTTTTATGGTAGACAATAACTTTGCAATTGGAGGTCTATAAAAAGGAAGACAAGTTCTACTTCCTATACGTTTGATTAGAATTCCTTGTTTTGTTACCATAAAATGTATGAGCTCCTCGATTAAGGAAGTTCCTAATATAACTAGACTAGCAAGGTCTTTTACTAATAGAAAGGACCTTGAGGCTAACTTAGGTGAATTTTCTAGAAAGTTTCTAACTTCAATATTGGAGAGTTTGAAGCTAACTCCCAATTTTCCGTTGTTGGCAGCTCTAAGGCCTTCCTTGATTTTTTCAAAGAAATTGGTTGGAATGAGTCCTTTTTGTATGCAGTTGAGATCTGCACCTGTATCAAATAAGGCAATGATATCTACGGTAAATGATTTATTGGCAATTAGGATGACTCTCATATGCCATTTCTGTATGGAAATTCTGGAGAGGTGGTTGAGAAAAACTTCTTGGTCAACTGGTTTAGTTTCAATTAGTTTGGGCTCTTCAGATTTGATAGAGAGCTGTTGAAGAACAAGACAGTCCAGTTCTTGTCTAGCCTTAATTTCTCGAATTTCTTCCTTAAGGAGTGCTATCTCAGTTTGGAGATCTTGGATAGTTATTAACTTAGGCTTTTGGGAAGCGAGTCTACTGAGGATATTAGTAATATTGTAGGTATTCGCAACTTGAGGATAATTGGGAAAGACACTAGGGGAAGATGTAGAAGGTTTATCTATAGTTTGTTTGAATTGCTCTAGATAATGCTTCTTTTGTTCAGAGTCTTGAAGATTGCTTATTATTTCAAGAAGAATATCATGTTCTTTGGAGAGAACATTAATCTCAGGTTGGCTATTTTTTTCCTCTTCACTAGACTAAAATAAAGATGATTCTATATCATCATCTTCGAGTTGGTTAAATTGTTGTTCGAGTTCAACATCAGAAGTGTTACTATTTTCTAATAAAATTTGTTCGATCTGGTTAAGAATGGACTTATATAGATCAAGATTTGTATCCTTATTAGACAACTTGCAGTACTTGGCGATATGCCCTGGTTTGTTGCACTTGAATCATTTTCCAGAATTGAGAGTTTGGAAAGTTGATGTTCTAGGTTTACTAGGAAAGGTTTTGTATTTAGAGGGAAAAGGTTTGGTCTTCCTAAACTTGGGTGTAGAAGATCTATATTTTGTGATCTCCTTATCTTTAGGTGTCCGTCTCTTATGAGGCCTTTTACTACAAGGAGGTAAGCCAAATTGTTCACAGAAACTACCTAGATCTCGGTGATTCTGCGTTCTATCTTTAGCAAATTGTCTCAATATCTTATTATGTCGACAGATTTTGAGAGCAAAATGTTGAATGAGACTGGTAGTTGGCCATAGGTGATTTGTTCGTAAGGAATAATATCATCAGTACACTGATTTTGGAGTTCCTCTTTAACTAAATCTCTAAGAGACTTAGGTAGGCCATCAAGGAATTTTTCTTTCCATTATGGGAGGTTTCCATATGTTTTTAATAGATTCGGGTAAGAAAGGAATCTTTATATCATCTGACATCAGAAAGGGTTTTACACTTAAGGTTGTTAAGTATCTCAGAAGATCTTTCCCTAAAGATACTTGTACTACTTATGAATATTTTGATAATAGTATAAATTAGGGTGTTAGTTGAACCGAGAATGGTATGGGCATCCTTCAGGATTTTTTCTCCCGTTGAATCAACTCGGACACTTAAGAGAATTTGGTTCTTAACTTCCTCGCTAAGATGAATATCCCACCACCCTTTAAGTTTACCTGTAAAACCTGCTACTAAGACATGGGTAGTAAGCTGGTCAGAACAGTTATGAGAAGTCCGGTATGCAGTGGCTACCATAGTAATCTGCTGTAATTTGGCCAGAATGTTGTATTCGGAACAACCATCTGTGTTCCACTCATAGATATTATTGACATTATAATTGTTTTGCATAAAGTTAGGTCCTTCTTCTAAGGCTACATCAGGATGGGTAGATCTAGAATAATAGAGTCTTTGAGGTTGATGCCAGTTGAAAGATCCTGTTCGAATCGGGGAAATTTCTAAGGGAGGATTGTCATGAAATTGCTCGGGTTGTGAATGGGTTTCTTGGTCAGTATCTACTTCTCGGAGAACAGATACATAAGAAGTGTTATCTTTAGTTGGGGTGTCCTGAGCTATCAGACTTTTCTCAATTTTTAGGATCCCATACTGAAGGTCAGAAACCTGAGGAAATTCTTTAGACTGATGAATTTGAAGTTCTGTAGCGAACGTTCTAAGGATTTCATAAGGGTTAAATAAGGGGATTGGAGAAGTGGAGGTTGAATAAGCGAACGTTCTGAGAAGATGGTTTTGTTATCAAATATTTACTAAGAGTTTGTAAATATTTATTTGTGTAGTTATTTTGTTCAAAAATATTTTTAATATCTTTGCCTGTATAACTTCATTTTCAATCTTTAATTTGAAAGGATTAGCGAATGGAGTCTTGACGTAACTGGTAAAGTTGCTGTCATGTGATTAGGAGGTCACGACTTCGAGCCGTAGAAACAGCCTCTTATAGAAATGTAGGGTAAGACTGCGTACAATAGACCCTTGTGGTCCGGCCCTTCCCCGGACCCCGCATAGTACACCGGGCTGCCCTTTAATTTGAAATGATTAGCCTCTAATGAATTATTTCCATAATTTGTTTAAAATCCATGTGACCGAGGAAATTCAGAGGTGACTTCTTCTCCGGTGGAAATTTTCCAAACCTTTGAAATGTTAGTAGATTTAGAAAAGAGAAATTCTATTTGGTGATATTAAGTATAAGGTTCAAGCCACTTAAAGAAGTTAATTTGTTTATGAAAAAAATTCAAGGACTTATAGTAAATGTTTTGAAGATTTTTTCTTTCAGTTTCTTGAAAATTCTTACTAAACCAAGTTCTTTTTAAAAAGGTTCTCAAGAGAGTAAAAAGTTGCTCTGAGTTTTTCTTTATCAATTTGAAAATCTTTTTCTAGAACATCTAACTCAGCACCTAAAGATGAATAGGTAGGAGATTGAGGCCTTTCAAAGTTAGCTTCTGTTGTAGGTATTTCCACAGAGTATTCTGCTTGTGAAATCCTAGATTCCAAGTTAACAGTTTTGATTCGAGAAGGAAATGAAGAGACTGAGTGTCTAGCAGACTGGATCTCAGATTATACTGAAGGAGCAGTAGAGACTCTCTGACTAAGATATCTCTGAAAAGAAATAGCCGCAGAACCTGTAAATTTTGTTGGATCTGGGAGACCATGGTGTTTTCTGGCTTTTGGGCTGGAGTAGCTTCTTGCAATAACCAGTTTTGAGGAAAAGAGACATGATTCTAGGAAATCGGTTTTGGAATCGATAATGAGACCTCTGTAAATTTGTTTGGAAGAGAATAGTTTCACCTTTATGAAGTGTTTTCATGGCTCCAGAATTTATGGCTTTATACTGAATTCTATAAATGATAGCAACCGGGAGAGATCCAATTTTGGTTTATAATTGGTTGTTTTGACATTGAGTGTCAAGGAATCCATTATATTCGTGTTTTTAAGGGATACTGTAAAATTGGGAAAGCAATCAAAGTAAATTGAACCACTACAAAGGCTGGTTTCTACCATTCCTAGCAGTCTAAAAATCTAGAGTCTCTAAAGTAGAGGAGGAGAGATGTGTCTAGTCTCTTGAAAGAGGTTTAGCTGCAATTAGTACTAAACGAAAATGGAGGTAATTATATTTTCGCCTATAATTTTCTATAGACTTAGGACTTAAAAGTTTGATATCTTCAGGGGTTTAGGCACCTTGCTTGAAGCAGTGTCACGTGACACCATTTCGTCGATTTTTTTTTTTTTTTTGTAATCTACTAGTCTTACGGTACGCGCGCTGCGCGTGTACCTTGTCTCAATGAGTACAACAAAAAGAACTTCTAAACCTAAAAGGAGTACAAGATGATTGGCGGTGTTAATTTATAGAATACAAAAGCTTAAATTTGTTAACTTTAAAGCTGATTTCAAATTCTAAAATATTAGTCAAAGTATTAAATAAGTGTGATATATTTTTTAAAACAAAAGCTAGATGTAGAAGAAAATTAAGAGAAAAAAAAAGTATTAGAAATCTACTTAGCATAATTGTCCAAAAGATTATGGAGAAGTGGAGAAACAGAAATCTGAACCAATTTTATTTTTCATCTCTATTTGATTAAAGAGAAATTCATTTTCTTTCATCTCAATTCCTTTAATATTAATAATCATTATTGAAATATATAAACCTAGTGTAAACGTGAAAAAACTCAAAGAGACATAAGCATTAAATGTTTATTCCTAAACATTAGGAAAAGGAATGCATAGAAGTCCTAAATATTAGGAAAATACTTAAATGTCTATTTTTAACGATAAGGAAATAACTAAATGACTATTTTGTCTAGTGTGAAATCAGTTTCTAGAGGGTAAAAAAGACGAAGACATTTCGCTAAGGGCCTTCGTGCTTTTAATATAGTATAGAAATATAATAAATAAAATTAAAATATTGATAAAATATAAAAAATGACACCGCTTGTTGTTACTATTTATTCATTTGTTCATTCCTTCAAAATTGATACCGCTTACGAAAATTCCTGTGTACTCTACTGGATATCTTCATGATCTGACTCAAGATGAATGGTTTGTTCTATGGTTGAAATGTGATAGTCACTTGTCAAGGCCCATCTTGAAGATTTATAGATGGTGGATTGAGGATGTTTATGAATTTTCCAAACAGTAATTGATTGCTGCAAATCAGCAAAGCTAACCTCTTATTGTCTTTGTCTCACCATATTAATGTGTTCGAGTTCTGGAATTTCAGGATTATATTCGCAGGAGGAATGGGAATGCTGGTGATTGGGACAATGGCAAACAACAGGTCGAGAGCTTCCTGTGGGTTTGGACATCGTCATTTTTTCTCCATTGGTGGAATTTTGTGTTTCGTACATGCCATTTTTTCTGTTGCCTATTACGCCACATCTACTATGACTCTTGCATAGTCCAAAACCACCAATCTTATTCCTCTCGAGGTGGATTCAGATTTTAATTCTACAGGTTCAAGACTCGAGTTCTAACTACTGAAAGCTTCACAATTCCTGTATTTTCAGCAATTCCAGTGGATATGACACAGAAAAATCCAAGTCTAGGCTAAAAGTTATGGATTCAAATGAACGCATATCAGTAGTGCTAGACCCGCCCTTGCTTCCTCTTGTGTTCTCCTCACAATTTCTTGCTACAAAGTAACCTTACAGTTTACTCTACGAGGTTTTAAATTTTTCACTTCTCTTTTTCTTTGTTTGATCTTTTAGAGATTGGTAATATGCTGATAGAGTAACTGTCATTTTGCGTAACTTTTGCTTATAGATCATAGCTATGACAACTACTTTCGGTTTGGAGATAACTTATTTTATGGATAATCCAAAGTTGATGAAGTGTTTTAGATGATTTGTTTTTAGAGCTAATACTCTAAAATCCGTCTAAATTATACAACTTTTGTTAGTTGCCTACCTAAACTATCGTCTGTCCCCGAAAACTCCTGAACTATATCCCCCTTCATAATAAAACTCTTCATCGCTTATGTGGCATAATGTGTAATAAATCGCCAAATAGCGCGTGAAGGCAGAAAAATATTGGGTTTGTTATTTAATAAATAATAACAAAAGAGGTGTGAATGGAAAATGGTGGGAAAAGAAATGGAGGGATGACCCACGACCCGGTCCGGTCTAGCCCGTTTTTCTTTCCTGGATTAATTTAAATTCGTTTTAAATTTCCCGCAAAAAATTTCCAACAGCCGTGACTGTTCTGATTTCTAAAAGGTTGCAAACCTCTTCAGAGGGTCACACCTGTCCCAACAGCCATGACTATTCTGAAAGGTTGCAAACCTCTTCAGAGGGTCACACCTATTCCAACAGTCATGACTATTCTGAAATGTTGCAAACCTCTTCAGAAACATCACCAAGTTGGCTATAAATAGACCTTCAAATCCCAGAATATTTACTTATGAAATTTTCTGATTATCTTCTTCTTCTGCACTAAAATTCCAGTGTGTTTTGCTGCCATCGAGTGGTTCGCTGATCATCGGCGTTTTTGGTACCAACACTCCGGTGAGTTAAATCGTTCTATCCTGGGAGGATATATTCCATAACCTCGGGTACTTGAGGGGAATAATTT